TAATTATTAATATATAATTATTAATATATAATTATTAATATATAATTATTAATATATAATTATTAATATATAATTATTAATATATAATTATAATAACATAATAGTAAATAATGGCTTCCAAGAAACTTTTTCAACAATTATCTCATGATTTGTCAAAATTATATTTCGATGTTAATTTTTGTGATGTGACAGGAAAACACCTAACGTGAAATCTTTAAGAGCTCATTCAGCAATTTTATATTATCGATCACCTTATTTTCGTCGTGAAATGTCAAAACCTGATTTTAATAATATGTTTAAAAAATTCAAAATCAATGTCGCAATGGAAATTATTGAACCTTTGATCAAGTATTTCTTTATTTATTTTTTATTATTATTGTTATTTTTATTATTATTCTTATTCATTATTTTTATTATTACCTTTATTGTTATTTTATTTTTATTATTATTATTTTATTATTATTATTTTATTATTATTGTTATTATTATTTTACCCGTAATTATCATCTACATCTGCATCTTAAATAACAAAAGACTAAAAGACTGACTCCTTTCTTTTTTCAATTTTATTTTATTTTCAGATATATATATATAATGGAACAATTTCATTAGATGATAAAAATGCGTCCGAAATCTTTAAAACATTATCCGCCGCAGATAAATTATGCCTTAATGAACTTGTAATATATCTTCAAAAATATTTACTTGATTATCATATTGAATGGTTGAGACGTCATTTTGATTCTGTTTGTCGTATAAGTTTTCGAAATGATACTTTTCAAGATTTACAACATTATTGTACCGAAGTCATGTCAAAAAATCCAGAAATGATGATCTTTTGTAATAATAATAATACCAAAACAATTGATTTTAATGAACAAGCGATGGTATCTTTATTAGAAAGAAATGATTTTAGAATGGAAGAAATTCAAATTTGGGAAAATTTAATTAAATGGGGAATTTCTCAAAATAAAAAATTATCTTCTATTCCTTTATTCTCTTGGTCAACCGATGAATTTATTATTTTAAGATCAGTTCTTCAACGATGTTTACCTTTAATTAGATTTCATAATATGTCTTATCAACAATTTTTTGAAAAAGTACAACCATTTGATAAATTATTCGATAAACAAATTTTTGAAGATTTAATTAAATATTTTACGTTATTATCAACAACAATATCATCAACAATAACGATTGAAAATACTTTATCTTCTACCTTTCGAGGTCCAATTATAGATTCAACATTAATTACTGAAAAACATAAAGCTTTAATTTCTATTTGGATTCGTCAATCTGAACCATCATCACCACCTTCTTCCACTAATACCACGACTATCACTACTATTGCTGTTAAAACAATTACGACTCCTCACAATTTACACAATTCACACAATTCACATATTTCACACAATTCACATACTTCTTCTTCTTCTTCCGGAACTGATGATAATCTTTACGAATTTAAATTATTACTTCGGGGAACTCGTGACGGATTCTCCCCATCAACATTTCATAAATTATGTGATAACAAAATGAATACAATTGTAATATTTAAAATTAAAGGTACCGGTGAATTGTTGGGTGTATATAATCCAATAAAATGGAAATCAATTAGAGGTTGGAGACAAACTTCAAATAGTTTCATATTTTCATTAGGAAGGGAAGGAATAAGAGGAGGAAATGGAAATATTAGTAATAATAATAATAATAATAATTATAATTATAATTATGATAACAATAATAATAGACTCAAGAATGCAATTATAAGTCGAGTTAAAAGAAAATGTGCAGCATTAAATTATGAAGAATATTTGGGACCTTCTTTTGGATTTGGTAAATATTTATTATTTAATTATTATTAAAATTTTTTCAATTTTTTTTTTTCATTTTTATTTATTTTATTTAAATAAATTTTAGACGATATTACAATTAGAGGTGAAGATTTTAGTGGAGATATGGAGTGTTATTCTAGCAATAATTGTTATGATAAACCTATTAGAGAAATCGAAGGATTTTTTTCGTTAGAAGAATATGAAGTATTTCAAATTCAGAAAAAGAATATTTATTATTAAACATCTATTACTAAATTATTTCAATTATTTCAATTATTTTTTGTCAAGTTGCAAACAAGTCACAATTTTTTGTAAATCTAACATTTCGATATTGTAAACAAAATCTTATTGAAGAAGGAAATAATAAAACATTTGATTACATATCACATTATACGTCATCATTGAAATCAGGAAAAAATGATATTCTTCTTGTGGTAAATAATCGAAACGCACCAATCACAATTAAATCATAATTGTTTTCAAGAATAAGTACATGAAAAAACCGAAAATGATTTTACTTTAGCTTCTTCTTTATTACATGAATGAGGATATTAAAAAAAAAATATAAATAAATAAATACATCTAGACAAATAAGAAAATAAAAATGAAGTTAAATTATTTAACTACACTAAAAAAAATACGACGCGACAATTTTAATCGTCATTATCGGAGTCATCATCATCGTCGTCGTCGTCATCACCTTTACAATTATCAGGAACAGAAAAACTTTCTTTTCTACCCCAAGGACTACCAGTAATAACTTTAGCTTTTACACCTAAACCCCTTTTAGCAAAACCTTTCCAAATCTCACAACGATTATCACCATTTGTTAATATTTCATCAGCTTGAATTATAGCATTTCTAGCATCAATAAATGATGGTCTACAAGGTTGTAATTTTAAACCATCCACCACTAATTGTAAAGTTAGAGTATTACCATGTTTAGGTGTTTTAATGGCATTAACTAAAAATCTTTTTGAATACCAATTGAAAAATGAAGTTGGATTATTATCAACTGGTGGAAGCCATTCTGAGGTAAATCCATGTTTATCAACAAGATTCCAGTATACTTCATATAAAATTTCTGCCCAAACAGCTCTATAAATAAAGAAAATTAAAAGAATTATAAAATATTTAGTGAATTGAATATCAATATCATAGAATAATATTTGATGTCATGTGATCCACACGTACCCTTTAGCATGTACACCCCAATAACCAGGTTTATCCAAATAAATAAAAGTTTCTGGATTGGTTTTTAAAGAAGTTGAATACTATACATAAATAATAAATAATTAAATAAATAAATAATTAATTAATTATTATTATTATTTATTATTATTATTTATTAATTATTGAAAAATAAATATAAATTAAATAATTTACCGGATATTTTCTTATTCCTTCTCCACCATTTGCCCAATCACCCATACCAAAATCTTTAGTACGAGTATGGCTTGAATTCATTCTGAATATAGTAGCAAAGAAATCTCCCCATCCTTCTCCCATACCACCTGATTCTCCCCATCCAAGACAACCACTATTGGCTGGTCCACCTGTTAACCTTGTAGAAATACCATGAGAATATTCATGTATCTAAAAAAAAAATAATAAAAATAACGGAATTTAATTAGAATAATAATAATAATAATAATATTATTATTATTATTATATTATAATAATTAAATAATACTTACGACAATGCCGGATTCCAAATCACCATCTCGCCAAGGAGAAATAACATTCCAGACGTACATACGCATTTTACCATGTTGACCATCTGGAGGTGTGGCAAAATTGGCATTATTAAATCTGTAAATAATAAAATAAACATTAATTAACAATCAGATTTATAAATAAATAAATAAATATAAATAAATAAATATAAATAATATAAATAAATAAATAAATATAAATGAATAAATATAAATAAATAAATAAATATAAATGAATAAATATAAATAAATATATATATATGTATATACCCAGAACCATCTTGTGCATTCGCGATTACTGGATCTTTATCTAAGCCTCCTTTTCCATGATTATCTTGTTGGAAATTTCCCGCCACTTCATTAAATCCATAACGATAGAATAAATCATGAATCTAATATATATATATATTATTATTATTATTATTATTATTATTTAATTTAATTCAATAATTTCAATATTTAATAAATAAGAATAATAATTTACCTTATTATTCAAATAAAATAAATTTGTAACTGAAGCATTAATATAAGTCTTTGGAGCTTCTGTCATATCCAATGGAAAATCGAAAAACAGTAATTCTCCACCTTCAGGACGGTAATTATTTTCCCATTCATATCTTCCTTTTAAATTTTCATGAGCGTAAACATTGTTACCTATTGTATTGGTAAAATTTTTTTTACCCTGTGAATGCCATCCGTAAGGTGATGCAATTATGTCATGAGGATTTTCTTCTAATTTTCTATCTCCATCTGATGGATCATTGATTCCGAATGGAAATACATTATATGTCGCATCAGATACCCAATCCATTAATGCCATCACTTTACCAGTATGCGCATTAATATGTCCATTATACCAATTATTTTCCATCTCGATTTCAATTTCCCAAACGAGTTGTAATAATTGTTCATCCGTTTGAATGTATGCTTGACTCATTTTTACGTCGGAAAGTGAAAATGGTACATTGGAAAGTAAAATTTTTGGTTCACTATTATCAAGTGAATTATATTCAGTATATGTTATCTTCTCCGGATGGGTTATTTCCTTATCAATAAAACGCATAAATGATTGTAATGCTTTTTCGGGTGAAATTACTTCACTTTTATCATTAATAATATTATAATTCAAATCATTGGATTCGTAAGATTCATAATGACGACGATCATTATTACCATTTTTTCGTTTATTCAATGTAAATTGTGAATGATGTGATCCACCTACGAATTCTTTATTGTTAATCTGATCAATTAATTTTTCTTCTTCATGATTTTTTGATGGTCGAGGTAAAGGTCTTTTTGAAAAGGAAGATTTCTTCGGATTAGCGAATGAATCACCATAAGATATAATTCTACCGAATCGATCAACATTAACATTTAAATCACTATTAGAAACTGGTAATCCATTTACAATCTGTTTAAAGTAAATATGAGTAACTCCGTTATGTTCGGATTTATAACTATTTTTAATGATAAAATCAGTTTCGGGATGTAATTTGGTTTTAATAAAATTTGTGGCAATTTTATTAGGATCAAATAAACTAGGTCCGGAAAATGTTCCATATTTTTCTATTGAAGGTGCTTCATAATGTCGATGGTTAAGTTCAGGACCAAAGTTTTCGAGACGACCGAATGGTGAAGTAACATGTACCTTACTTTCCTTATTATGATGATGATGTCCGTGCTTTCCTTGAGTAGCAGAAGTAAGATACAATAAAGTCCAACCCAAAAGTGAAAGTTTAACTAGTTTCATGATGATATATTTACTCAATATATATTAATAAACTATCAATAAAACTATTTAAGCTATTGACTAATTAAAGCTATTAATCAAAACTATCGATATTGATAATGCTATATTGTTTATATTGTTGATGATGTATAGATATTATGAGAACGAACGAACGATATGAGAGCACAATAAATAAATATATTATTTATCGAATACTAAATAAGAAATATTCTCAAACTTTATTTTTTTTTTTTTCCATAAAAATATTCTTAAAAAATTACAAAACAAATTCTCATTATTATGGAGCAAAAAAAAAATAAAATAAAAAAAAAATCCGAAGACAATGTCTACCTATATATACATGAAAGAAAATCGTTCCCAGTAACTATTGTCATTGAGAATTCTTGATTTAGATTATTAAAAAGAAATTCGTAAAGAAATGTACAAATTGTACAAAGTCGTACAGTTGTACTAAATGAGTGTCTTATGACCTATTCTTTTTAATAAAGAAATATGTAAACAAACAATACGTGTCTTGCCCAAAGTAGGAATTAATTAATTACCTTTCGTGATTTCTTTAGATTTGATACAATTATTTCATTAATTATATTTGATCGATTAATTTAAATATATATATCAAATATTCGTCGTTGACGTTATCAATTATTGATTAATTATTAATCAATTTAATACAGCAATTACAACAATTAACAATTACAACAATTGAAAATATCTAAATATCTACACTACGAATATCTGCAAATATCTGCACAAATAACTTTATAGTTGCATATTTACGCAACCTTGAACATAACCAGAAAAAAACTAGATTAACTTCATATGATAAAGTTAATGATTATCAAAAATAATATACAAAAATAAAAAAATAAAAATGAAAAATTTCTTTCAACTTATAGGGAAATGATTTTTGTGATATGTATATAGAATACGGATTAGCAAATTTTCATCAATTTTTCATTGTTCTATATAAATTGTCATTGAAAGAATTGTTTATTAAATTGTTATTATGAAGCAATTAAAGAAAACGTTAGTAAAATTAGAAGTAAAAGCGATCCTAAATTTCCTTACTTACCACCTGTGTTGAAAGTTGTACAATGATTTGAATGCATTATTAGCAGGTGGGGAACTAAAATATGACCCGACCTTTTTCAAAACGGGGACATTTCCGTTCTTTCGCAGTCTTCGACATAATCGATATCCATTAGAAATTTCAAAGAAAAATTAGTGATATAAATCTTCACTTTCCATAGTTTCAAATCACAAGCATCAACATCAAATTTTTTTTAAGGTATTCTTTTTTTTATTTCAAATAATCTCCCTGAGCTTCCCAACAGTCATTTTACCATCGATATCAACAGGAAAAGCGTTTACGATAGCAGACAAATAAATGCCATTGATCGAAATTCCTTTATTCGATTAGTGATATCTTGTTCGTTCTGACTGAAAAAAAAAAAAAAAAACTTAAAAGTTTCGCGCAATTTTGCAAATTCTTTTTGAGTAACTTTTGACATCAACAAATGTACCCGATTATATAATAAAAGATTATATAATTAATACGTAAATATTTAAAACTAAGCCTTAACACGATTACTAAAACCGTTATTCTAATAATTACACAACATTTAAATTTTTTTATTTAAATAGCGAGTTTAAAAAAGAAAGAACATTTTGACATTTCAACATTTTTCTTGTATTTTTCTTGTGTTTTTCTTGTATTTTATATTTTATATTTTATACTAAGGCAAAATTTCTTCTTCAGGTTTTTCTCGTTTTTTTAATCATCAATATATGATCTCTTTTTCCTTACTATAATTCATTGCTATAATAATTCCTTTCCTTTCGCCTTTAATTTTGTTATCTTTCTTTTATAAAAGGTGATTATACAGTGGTCCCCACGGACCCAGAACAACAACAAAACTCTATTTTTAGTTCTCAAGATCAAAATCAATCTTCACAAATGCCATATGATAAAAAAAAATTGGTGAAATCATATGTTCTAGAGTAAATTTCTAAATTTTTCTCGGAATATATATATATATATATTTTTTATTATATTCTTTTAATAATTCTTCTCATATATATATATATATATATAGTTGGGTACTATGTTTTGCATTTTTGGGGATTTTCGAAGGTATAGATCAATTAGAACCTTTTCACAGAAGATTCTCTTTGGAAGATAAATCAATTCAATATCCATATGCTGTTCAAGAAAGGGTACCAATGTGGATGGCATTTGTACGTAAAATTTTATGATTTTATAATTTATATTTTTTTTATGATTTATGATTTATAATTTTTTTTATAATTTTTTTTTTTAGATAATTGTAGTAATTGTTCCATTAATTACGATGATTATAATATCACTTGGAGTCCAAAGAAGCATGCACGATTGCCATCACGCAATTCTTGGATTACTTTTAGGATGTTCTTTGACTTTGGCAGTGACTGAAGTATTCAAAGTAAATTTGGAATTTATTACTTATAATAATTATAATAATTAATTAAGTTTTGCCTTAATTAATCTAAAATATAAAATGTATATTGAATATTCCTTAGAGTACTGCAGGTCGTCCTCGACCAGACTTTATCGATCGATGTCAACCAGTTAATGGATCAACTGATGCCACGGTTTATGGTCTTAGTACTTCAGATATTTGTACACAAACTTCTCATTCTATATTGAAAGATGGATTTAAAAGTTTTATTTCTGGTCACTCTTCAAGTAAGTTCAATGTGTTTTGTGAAATTATTTTATGAACATGCATATATCTCTCTCTGCATTATTTACACATTCTTTATTTTTTAATATAGCCAGTTTTGCAGGAATGGGTTACCTAGCACTATATTTGGCTGGTAAATTACATGTATTTGATGGAAAAGGTTACACCTATAAAGCATTCATAGTAGTTGGTCCGTTAGTTGTTGCTACTTTAGTTGCTATAACTCGAACAATGGATTATCGTCATCATTGGCAAGATGTTATCGCTGGAAGTTTAGTTGGTAATTATTATCCATTATTATTATTTATCAATTATTAAATTCGGCTTTCCTTCATATTTAACCATTTCTCTTATGATACTTATTAAATAGGTTTCTCCCTTACCTTCTTTTCGTATCGCCAATATTACCCCCCTTTAAATTCACATATTTGCCATCGACCTTACACTGTAAGACTTAAAGAAGCCGAACCAGATCATACTGCAGATTTTTCATTTCATGATGGGTCAACATTTAAAGTTTGTGTGACTCGTAAGAGCGGTGAAATTATACACCAATCTAATCATAAAACGAATCCAACAATTTCTGAAGAATTAAATCAAATCGTATAAAAAGAAAAAAAAAATTTAAAAAGTATATTATTATAATATTTATAATTTAGACAAACCATTAATTAAAAATCAAATCCCTTTGATATCAAAAAATAATTGAGAACCTTTCTAACTTCATATAAATGAAAATATTTGTAATTATTTTATTAAATTGGGAATTTATTTTCTATTAGTTGTATTGGTGTTATCATATGGATTATAAATAAAATCTATTGTTGAAATTTTGAAATAAACATTGACTAATTTATATAAATTGTAGCATTAAATCTAGATTTAAAAAAAAATCCAATTATTATATTTACATATTTATTGTTTTCAATACATTACTACTATACCATAGGTAAATTATTATGAGCACTTGGTTTTCCCTGTTCATGCAAAGTTCTCTAAAGTACCAATTCAGAGCAGTTCTCAAATTCTTCCTCATTTGAAAACAATTTTGACATATTTTCACTCTTGCCAGTTTGTTGTTACCCCTGAAAAATAATCATTTCGTGTTATGCATAAAGCTCCTAATGTAACAGTTTGGTTCAGTTCTAACATTGAACTGGAACTGAACCAAAATTTAAAAACTGGTTTCAGTTTGGAACTGAAATTTAAAAATATTGAACTGAACCAAACTGGAACCACTAGTTCAAAATAGTTCAAAAAATTTTTTTCTGTCAGAGTTTTGTTTAACTATTATAGTAAATTATAATATAAAACTGTTACAAGAGTAATTCTTATAAGTTTAAAAAAATAATTATATATAGAAATTGTAAAAA